CCTATAACTGACCATTTCTGTCCTTGCATTGTACTGGCCCGCTGATGAATTGTCGAAGACATATGTTTGCCAATATGACTTTTCAATCGTAAAATGGGAATTTTCGCAGAATCCTTTGAAAGATATTCGAAATTTGCTGTGCCACTGAAAGCAACTGGATTCTCATCTAAGTGGTGACTCTCTATTAGCACTCAAAATTCTATTAAACGTTCTGCCAGACTTTGTTTTTCGCTGGCTGGACTGCATTTCCGCCCTCTCATGCCTTCTTTACTTGCATCTTTCCAACTAGGTTGACCGGAATTTGGAGTAGTTCACGACTGATCATTTGTATTGGCTATAGCAGTAATTTAGAGAGAAAAACTTCATGTTGCAAAATTTTTAATTTAGGGCAGTGGCGGCGCTGCGAACGCAGTGGCCAATACTACTGATCTGCACAATTTTGTGGCAAATTTGGGGGAGGAAATGACGGACGAGGAGTTCAACTACAAGTAAGTGCTGTTTTCTTCTTGTTCACTACGATTCATCCCTGCTGACTTCTGTGTGAGTGTCTTTGATGACTACTCCTTAAGCAATATTAATAAGTGGACGGAGACTATTTTTTATGAAGGGATATTCACTGTTCTTTGAAAAGCTCAAAATTTAACATTTCTAAAATAATACCCTTTATATAAGTTAGAGTTTAAAGGAGATGTTATTTTCTACAAAACAATTTACAAGAAATTGTATTTTATGCTTGTTTCCTATAAATATATTTTAAATCAAATAAACATCGAAAATATATGGAAGTTTTCATTTTAATTTGGTAAGCATTTTTTACAGTGACGTTTTTTCCAGGTGGCAGAAAAGGAGCTTGTTCAAAAGCCTGACGCTAGTTAAATGTCTTTTGATTATACCACGCGCATATTAATATGACAGCCTACTTAAGTTGTCTTTTCTGATCAAAAGCGCATTGTAGAATTTCAGTTTTCGCAGTTCACATCACGGTTACTTTACGTAATAGCATTGTTTAGAATAGGCACTTCGCGAGTGCCCCACTTTCGATTTACGTGTAGTATGTAAGTCCTTCAGAGTCCTCGGGGAATGCCTGCGCAGGGCGATGCATGCTGGCGCCAGATCGATGAATTGACTGCTGGCACTGGTGGTCAACTGTCCCCCACTCTTCTACTCCCCTCTCCCCTTCTTAACGGTTGATGGGCCCCTTCCTCCTATAACTGTTGTTTGTCTTTCGTTGACGCCTTTTATCTCTGCCGATGGACTCCAGAAAAAGCCCGAAAGCTTAGACAAGTAAAACTCTGATTCCAGTGATCGAAACGCCTTTTACTTCTCTATCTAAACACCTACTTGGGATGTGAACGTTTGCCTCAATTTGTAAATAGTCTTTTTAAGACGGTCCCGGAGCTC